ATGTAGTAAGTCCCGATAATCAATCACTTTCGAATCTTCCAACTATTGGACAAGTGTTTTCTGCTCTACTCTCTTCGGTCTCTCCGCTCCGTTCGCTCCGCTTTCCTCGCTCCGATCTACAATGCAACAAAGCGCAAGAACCGACTCAATGATGAAGATACAGCAGCTCCACGACCGCGTGCAGTGCGTCAACGACCAGGACTAGAAGAGTCAAGCGTGCCGGAAAACAACTCGTCACGCCAAGAAGAAGACGAAGAAACGAAGGATTCTGATGATTCAACACCGCCTGTGTTTTGGCGTGCGAGTGCAAATGCCGTTGAAGCAGCAGTGGACTTATCAGAGCCCTCAACATTTGAAGCAGCAGTAAGCGGCCCTGACCAAGTGCACTGGAGAAAAGCAATTCATGCAGAGCTCGAGTCAATGCGACTTCGCGGTGTGTTTCGTGCAGCCAAGCTGCCCAACGGACAACGCGCCATTGGCACAAAATGGGTGTTCAAGATCAAGCGCAAGGCGGATGGGTCAATCGAGAAGTACAAGGTACGACTTGTGGCCAAGGGTTTCCGCCAAAAGTATGGCATTAACTACACGGAGACGTTTTCGCCTGTGGTCAAGTATGTGACGCTGCGACTGGTGATTGCAATTTCCAAGCATTTTGGATGGCCCATCGACCAGCTTGATGTGGTGACAGCTTTCCTGTATGGCGTCATGAAGGAACAAGTGATCTCTGTGATTCCTGAAGGCGTCGAACTTGACAGTACTTTCGACTGCCTGGAATTGGTGAAGTCGATTTACGGCCTCAAGCAAGCGTCGCGAGTGTGGAACGAGACGTTCGACGAGTATGTGTGCTCCATCGGATTTCAAGTATCGGACTTCGACCCATGTCTCTACATCAAGACTTCGGACGGCCATTGCGTGTTTATACTGGTCTACGTGGACGACGTCTTGGTGACTGGAAGCTCGCTCGAGCTGATTGCACAAACCAAGAACGACCTGAAGACGCGGTTCGAGATGACGGACAGCGGCAAGTGTGCGTTTGTTCTTGGGATCGAGCTTTTGGACGGTGAAGATGGCAGTGTGACACTATGTCAGCGTCGGTATGTCGATGATATCCTCAAGCGCTTTGGCATGGATGATTGCAAGGCTGTGTCAAGTCCAGTGGACATGAGCTCTCGACTTATTTCAAGCAATGCAGCTACCAAGGTCGATGCTCCTTTTCGCGAAGCTGTTGGTGCGTTGATGCACCTGACCACTGCAACGCGTCCGGACATTGCGTTTGGTGTGGGCTATGTGTCGCGGTTCATGGAAAATCCCCAAGAAGAACACTGGGTTGCAGTTAAGCGTATCTTTCGCTACCTACAAGGCACCAAGACGCATGGAATTTGCTACAAGCCAAGTGCAAGGATTGACTTCCGTGGATATTCCGATGCGGATTGGGCTGGTGATCTTACCGACCGCAAGTCAACATCGGGGTACACGTTCATGCTACTCGGTGCGCTAGTGACTTGGGGCAGCAAGAAGCAGCCAAGTGTTTCGTTGTCCACGACTGAAGCTGAATACATCGCACTCAGCTTGGCGATTCAAGAGGGCAAGTGGATTCATCGTCTGCTTTGTGAGATCGTGATGGCTGCCAATGAAGAAGGACCGGAACTCATGATTCATGAAGACAATCAGTCATGTATCAAGATGACGAAGAACCCGGTCAACCACGGCCGTGCCAAGCACATTGATATCAAGTACCATCACATCCGTGATGAGGTCAAGCGCGGTGAAGTGAAGCTCAAGTATTGTGAAACTGCGGTGATGTTAGCGGACATCATGACGAAGGGACTTCATGGACCACACCACAAGGAGATGACGACGGCTCTCGGGATTCGTGAGCATTCGGATTGAGGGGGCGTGTTGACGGTCATCGTTTTTCTACCAGTATTGGTAACCGTGACCGGTCCAATCCGAACCGCCTGTTCAGCTTAGTATTTACGACGCAGTTCTTACGGTAATTACCATAGTTGATTAGACGCGTAGGATGATGAGACGCTTCACATAATTTATATGTACACCACATGTAAATCATGTAGTAAGTAGTAAGTCCCGATAATCAATCACTTTCGAATCTTCCAACTATTGGACAAGTGTTTTCTGCTCTACTCTCTTCGGTCTCTCCGCTCCGCTTTCCTCGCTCCGATCTACAATGCAACAGTTTGCAGTCTCGTTCGAATGTGAAGTTTCGACGAGCAAGGACGTGTCTGGAATGTGGGCCGTCGACAGTGGTGCAACGCACCACATTTGCCACGACAAGACCAAGTTCGCAAGTTTGGCAGAGCGCAATGAGGGTGAACTCTTGGTGGCTGATGGCAACAAGGTGGTCATCAAGGGTGTGGGAACCATAATGGAAAAGGTGGTTCTGCCCAACGGTGAAGAGCGTGAGATCGAAATCAAGAACGCGCTATATGTTCCAAGTATGAGCAAGAACCTGCTCTCGGTACCACAGATTAACAGCCATGGCAAGTTTCAAGTCGTGTTTGACGGGTCCAAGATGTATGTGACTCTCAAGAACTCACAGCAAGTGGTGGCGACAGTGGATCTCGTGGATGGACTCTACTGGCTTCGGACGACTCAACGATCAGCGAATGTGACAACAAGTTGTTGACGGTCATCGGTTTCTACCAGTATTGGTAACCGTGACCGGTCCAATCCGAACCGCCTGTTCAGCTTAGTATTTACGACGTAGTTCTTACGGTAATTACCATAGTTGATTAGACGCGTAGGATGATGAGACGCTTCACATAATTTATATGTACACCACATATAAATCATGTAGTAAGTCCCGATAATCAATCACTTTCGAATCTTCCAACTATTGGACAAGTGTTTTCTGCTCTACTCTCTTCGGTCTCTCCGCTCCGTTCGCTCCGCTTTCCTCGCTCCGATCTACAATGCAACAAAGCGCAAGAACCGACTCAATGATGAAGATACAGCAGCTCCACGACCGCGTGCAGTGCGTCAACGACCAGGACTAGAAGAGTCAAGCGTGCCGGAAAACAACTCGTCACGCCAAGAAGAAGACGAAGAAACGAAGGATTCTGATGATTCAACACCGCCTGTGTTTTGGCGTGCGAGTGCAAATGCCGTTGAAGCAGCAGTGGACTTATCAGAGCCCTCAACATTTGAAGCAGCAGTAAGCGGCCCTGACCAAGTGCACTGGAGAAAAGCAATTCATGCAGAGCTCGAGTCAATGCGACTTCGCGGTGTGTTTCGTGCAGCCAAGCTGCCCAACAGACAACGCGCCATTGGCACAAAATGGGTGTTCAAGATCAAGCGCAAGGCGGATGGGTCAATCGAGAAGTACAAGGTACGACTTGTGGCCAAGGGTTTCCGCCAAAAGTATGGCATTAACTACACGGAGACGTTTTCGCCTGTGGTCAAGTATGTGACGCTGCGACTGGTGATTGCAATTTCCAAGCATTTTGGATGGCCCATCGACCAGCTTGATATGGTGACAGCTTTCCTGTATGGCGTCATGAAGGAACAAGTGATCTCTGTGATTCCTGAAGGCGTCGAACTTGACAGTACTTTCGACTGCCTGGAATTGGTGAAGTCGATTTACGGCCTCAAGCAAGCGTCGCGAGTGTGGAACGAGACGTTCGACGAGTATGTGTGCTCCATCGGATTTCAAGTATCGGACTTCGACCCATGTCTCTACATCAAGACTATGGAAGACCAGCGCGTATTAATTTTGGTCTATGTGGATGACGTGTTGGTGACAGGAAGCTCACCCAAGTTGATTGCACACACCAAGGAAGACCTGAAGACACGCTTCGAGATGACTGATAGCGGCAAGTGTGCATTTGTTCTTGGAATTGAGCTTTTGGACGGTGAAGATGGCAGTGTGACACTATGTCAGCGTCGGTATGTCGATGATATCCTCAAGCGCTTTGGCATGGATGATTGCAAGGCTGTGTCAAGTCCAGTGGACATGAGCTCTCGACTTATTTCAAGCAATGCAGCTACCAAGGTCGATGCTCCTTTTCGCGAAGCTGTTGGTGCGTTGATGCACCTGACCACTGCAACGCGTCCGGACATTGCGTTTGCTGTGGGCTATGTGTCGCGGTTCATGGAAAATCCCCAAGAAGAACACTGGGTTGCAGTTAAGCGTATCTTTCGCTACCTACAAGGCACCAAGACGCATGGAATTTGCTACAAGCCAAGTGCAAGGATTGACTTCCGTGGATATTCCGATGCGGATTGGGCTGGTGATCTTACCGACCGCAAGTCAACATCGGGGTACACGTTCATGCTACTCGGTGCGCTAGTGACTTGGGGCAGCAAGAAGCAGCCAAGTGTTTCGTTGTCCACGACTGAAGCTGAATACATCGCACTCAGCTTGGCGATTCAAGAGGGCAAGTGGATTCATCGTCTGCTTTGTGAGATCGTGATGGCTGCCAATGAAGAAGGACCGGAACTCATGATTCATGAAGACAATCAGTCATGTATCAAGATGACGAAGAACCCGGTCAACCACGGCCGTGCCAAGCACATTGATATCAAGTACCATCACATCCGTGATGAGGTCAAGCGCGGTGAAGTGAAGCTCAAGTACTGTGAAACTGCGGTGATTTTAGCGGACATCATGACGAAGGGACTTCATGGACCACACCACAAGGAGATGACGACGGCTCTCGGGATTCGTGAGCATTCGGATTGAGGGGGCGTGTTGACGGTCATCGTTTTTCTACCAGTATTGGTAACCGTGACCGGTCCAATCCGAACCGCCTGTTCAGCTTAGTATTTACGACGTAGTTCTTACGGTAATTACCATAGTTGATTAGACGCGTAGGATGATGAGACGCTTCACATAATTTATATGTACACCACATGTAAATCATGTAGTAAGTAGTAAGTCCCGATAATCAATCACTTTCGAATCTTCCAACTATTGGACAAGTGTTTTCTGCTCTACTCTCTTCGGTCTCTCCGCTCCGCTTTCCTCGCTCCGATCTACAATGCAACAGTTTGCAGTCTCGTTCGAATGTGAAGTTTCGACGAGCAAGGACGTGTCTGGAATGTGGGCCGTCGACAGTGGTGCAACGCACCACATTTGCCACGACAAGACCAAGTTCGCAAGTTTGGCAGAGCGCAATGAGGGTGAACTCTTGGTGGCTGATGGCAACAAGGTGGTCATCAAGGGTGTGGGAACCATAATGGAAAAGGTGGTTCTGCCCAACGGTGAAGAGCGTGAGATCGAAATCAAGAACGCGCTATATGTTCCAAGTATGAGCAAGAACCTGCTCTCGGTACCACAGATTAACAGCCATGGCAAGTTTCAAGTCGTGTTTGACGGGTCCAAGATGTATGTGACTCTCAAGAACTCACAGCAAGTGGTGGCGACAGTGGATCTCGTGGATGGACTCTACTGGCTTCGGACGACTCAACGATCAGCGAATGTGACAACAAGTTGTTGACGGTCATCGGTTTCTACCAGTATTGGTAACCGTGACCGGTCCAATCCGAACCGCCTGTTCAGCTTAGTATTTACGACGTAGTTCTTACGGTAATTACCATAGTTGATTAGACGCGTAGGATGATGAGACGCTTCACATGATTTATATGTGCACCACATATAAATCATGTAGTAAGTAGTAAGTCCCGATAATCAATCACTTTCCAATCTTCCATCTACCCCCCAAGTGTCTTCTCCGGTCTTCCGAGTAGACTCCCAGCATCACTCCCAGTTTCGGTCGTCAAGCTTTTCACCCCTCAACAGGTTATGAGCCCAAGCACGATGCCCTCTTCTCATGATGCCACCACCAAGATCTCCATTGACAAGTTCGACGGCGACAACTACGCGACGTGGAGCCGCTACATGCGTGGCGTGTTCCTGACCAAGTCGGCGTGGCACGTGGTGAACCGGGGAGACCACCCCCCACCTTCGCCGATCCTCGCGCCAGTGACGACTACGTCAAGACGAACAACATTGCGTTCGGCTTGATGCTGCTGCACATGAGCGCGGATTATCATCACGTGGTTGATGACTGTGAAGAGGCGTGGGTCGCGTGGGCGCGTTTGAAGACGCTGTACGGCGGGTCGCAGAAGGCTGGACGCATCTACTTGAAGCGCCAGCTGTTCAGCATGGAGATGGCGGAAGGCGGCAATGTGATGCATCATTGCAACGAAGTCCTCAACATCAGCGCGAAGCTCAGCAGCATCGGCGCCAAGATGGAGGACGAGGACGTGGCGATCTGCTTGTTGCGCAGCCTCCCCAAGAGCTACGAGAACGTCGTTCTCAACTTGGAGATGAGCAGCTCGGAACTGCGATCGCGAGACGTCGTGAGAGTGCTCACGAATGAGCACATCAAGAGGCAAGGTGACAAGACGACATCGGTGAAGACTGAAGACGCGGCGAAGGCGTTCAGTGCCGAGCGTGAACCTCGCCAGTGTACATACTGCGGAAAATTGGGGCACACGGCGGAGCGGTGCTGGACCAAGCAGAAGGACGAAAATCAAGGTGGAGCTCGACGCGGCGGCAACAATGCTCGTGGACGCGGAGCCAACAGCGTTTAGTGGCGAACCAACAACAACAACGACGAAAACTACGATCGAGTTGCGTTCGCGGTTTCGCTGGAGGCTGGACTTTCGACGGGCAAGAATATGCCAGGGATGTGGGCAGTCGACAGCGGTGCGACGCATCACATCTGCAACGACAAAGCCAAGTTTGCAAGCCTGAATGAGCGAGAGGAAGGCGAACTATCAGTGGCTGATGGCAGCAAGGCTGCGATCAAGGGTGTGGGAACCATCATGGAACGGGTGGTTCTGCCCAATGGTGACGAACGCGACATCGAGATCAAGGACGCACTGTTCGTACCAAGTATGAGCAAGAATCTGCTTTCGGTGCCACAGATCAACAAGGGTGGCAGGTTCCAAGTCGTGTTCGATGGATCCAAGATGTAAGTGAAGCGCAAGAATTCCACACAAGTCGTGGCAACAGCGGATCTCGTCGATGGACTTTACTGGCTGCGGACTCCTCAACGATCGGCAAATGCAGCAACACGCAATGGGACTATCGACTTGCATGCGCGCATGGGTCATGCACCCCTCGAAGTTCTGCGCAAGATGGTGGCCACTGGCATGATCAAGGACGCCAAGGCACCTCTCAACTCGACTGGTCCAAGTGTGTGTCGCGGTTGCCAGCAAGGAAAGATGGTTCAAAAACCATTCCCAACCAACCGTGACAAACGCCAATATGGTGTGTTCGAGTTGCTGCACTTCGACATCTGCGGGCTAATGGAACAAGTCTCGATCGGCGGCAGCAGATACTTACTGCTTGTGGTTGACGAAGCTAGCGGTTGCATGAAGGGCTTCTGTCTGCGGTCCAAGTCTGAGAGTGAAGACTGTATCAAGAACCACATCATCAAGATTCAAACTCAGTTCGGCACAAAGATCAAGTTTGTTCGGCACGATGGAGCGCATGAGTTTGCGACCAACTCCATCAAGACCTTCTACGAAGATCATGGTATCGAACAACAGATCACGGTGCCGTATGCACACCAGACCAACGGCACCGCAGAACGCGCGATAAGGACCATCGTCACGATCGGACGCAGCTTGTTGCATCATGCAAAACTGGAGAAGTGTTTCTGGGCTGAAGCGGCAATGACGGCGATCTACATCAAGAACCGCCTGCCTTCACCCAAGATCGACCACAAGACTCCGTTCGAAATGGTGTACAAGTCGAAACCAAGTGTCAACCACATGCGCGTGTTTGGATGTCGGGCGTTTATCCTGACACCAAGGGAGAAGCGATTGAAGTGGGACCCGAAGGCTCGTGAAGGGATGTTCATGTACTACGAAGAAGCGTCAAAAGCTTATCGAGTGTACGACATTGAGGCGGACCAAGTGGTGATCAGTCGTGACATCACCTTCGACGAATCGACTTTTGATTTTTCGATGGACCGACCAAGTGACGATGATGAAGATGTGGAGTTGGACCTCGACCTCCTGGCGATCAACGAGGACGACGTGCGTCAAACCGTCTACAAGCAGACTGGCAAGCGCAAGAGTGAAGCAAGACCCGGCATGTCACGTTCAGCTCGCCCTCGAACTGGGTTGGAACAAGCAAGTGCGCCGGAACACGTCTCCAACCGTCACCAGAAACGACGATCAAGTGCTCCAGAAACGATGTCTGATGACGAAGAAGATGCAAGCGTCTACGATCAAGATGACGACTCGACGCCTCCAACATTTTGGCGTGCAAGTGCAAACGCAGTGGAAGCAACGGACCTAGCAGAACCTGTGACTTTTCAAGACGCGATCAATGGTCCTGATCAAGCTCACTGGCGAAATGCTGTACAGGCGGAACTCAAGTCGATGCATCTTCGTGGAGTTTTCCGTGCGGCAAAACTGCCAAGAGGCCAAGGCGCGATCGGCACCAAGTGGGTGTTCAAGATCAAGCGCAAAGCGGATGGATCGGTCGAGAAATACAAGGAGCGTCTCGTTGCCAAGGGCTTCAAGCAGAAGTACGGCATCGACTACACAGAGACGTTCTCGCCTGTGGTCAAGTTCGTGACACTGCGTATGGTGATCGCGATCACCAAGTATTTCGACTGGCCACTGGACCAACTCGATGTGGTGACAGCCTTTCTCTACGGAGTGATGAAGGAGAAGGTGTACTGTGTGATACCAGAAGGCGTCGAGGTGGATGGCGACTTCGACTGTCTCGAGTTGGTGAAGGCGATCTACGGTCTCAAGCAAGCTTCACGTGTGTGGAACGAGACTTTCGACGAGTTCGTATGCTCCATCGGTTTCGAAGCGTCGGCGTTCGACCCATGTCTCTACATCAAGGTTGTCGACGGTCACTGTGTGCTCGTGCTGGTCTACGTGGATGACGTGTTGGTCACCGGCAGCTCGCTCGAGTTGATTGCGCAGACGAAGGTCGACCTCAAGACGCGTTTCGAGATGACCGACAGTGGCAAGTGTACTTTTGTACTGGGCATCGAACTGGTGGACGAATCTGATGGCAGCGTGACGATGTGCCAGCGACGGTATGTCAACGACATCCTCAAGCGCTTCGGTATGGATGAGTGCAAGGCCACAGCAAGTCCGGTCGATTTGAGCACTCGGCTTGTCGCAAGCACCGAAGCGGCCAAGATCGACGTTCCGTTTCGTGAAGCTGTGGGAGCTTTGATGCACTTGACGACCGCGACGCGCCCGGACATTGCGTATGCTGTGGGGTACGTCTCGCGCTTCATGGAGAATCCGCAGCAAGAACATTGGACGGCGGTGAAGCGCATCTTTCGTTACTTGCAAGGGACCAAGTCGCACGGACTCCGCCTCCAGCCAAGCGACAAGATCGAATTTCGTGGCTACTCGGACGCGGACTGGGCCGGCGACCACGCTGATCGCAAGTCGACTTCGGGTTACACTTTCATGCTGATGGGTGCTCCTGTGAGTTGGGGAAGCAAGAAGCAGTCAAGTGTGTCGCTGTCGACGAGTGAAGCGGAATACATCGCACTGAGTCTGGCCATCCAGGAAGGCAAGTGGGTGCATCGCCTGCTATGCGAGATTTTGGCGGCCGCAAACGAACCAGGACCGGACCTCGTCATCCGTGAAGACAACCAGTCGTGCATCAAGATGACGAAGAATCCGGTGAATTATGGCCGCGCCAAGCACATCGACATCAAGTACCATCACATCCGTGATGAGGTCAAGCGCGGTGAAGTGAAGCTCGAGTATTGCGAGACTTCCGTGATGATGGCGGACATCATGACCAAGGGACTTTCGGGACCTCGTCACAAGGACTTGACGACGGCTCTCGGCATTCGTGCGAGTTCGGATTGAGGGGGCGTGTTGACGGTCATCGATTTCTACCAGTATTGGTAACCGTGACCGGTCCAATCCGAACCGCCTGTTCAGCTTAGTATTTACGACGTAGTTCTTACGGTAATTACCATAGTTGATTAGACGCGTAGGATGATGAGACGCTTCACATGATTTATATGTGCACCACAAATAAATCATGTAGTAAGTAGCAAGCCCCGATAATCAATCACTTTCCAATCTTCCATCTACCTCCCAAGTGTCTTCTCCGGTCTTCCGAGTGGACTCCCAGCATCACTCCCAGTTTCGGTCGTCAAGCTTTTCACCATTCAACAAGTTTGAATCTTGATGATGTGGTTCTTGATACAGTCTTCACTCTCAGACTTGGACCGCAGACAGAAGGACCGCAGACAGAAGCCCTTCATGCAACCGCTGGCTTCGTCAACCACAAGCAGTAAGTATCTGCTGCCGCCGATCGAGACTTGTTCCATTGGCCCGCAGATGTCGAAGTGCAGCAACTCGAACACACCATAGTGGCGTTTGTCACGGTTGGTTGGGAATGGTTTTTGGACCATCTTTCCTTGCTGGCAACCGCGACACACACTTGGACCATTCGAGTTGAGAGGTGCCTTGGCGTCCTTGATCATGCCAGTGGCCACCATCTTGCACAGAACTTCGAGGGGTGCATGACCCATGCGCGCATGCAAGTCGATAGTCCCATTGCGTGTTGCTGCATTTGCCGATCGTTGAGGAGTCCGCAGCCAGTAAAGTCCATCGACGAGATCCGCTGTTGCCACGACTTGTGTGGAATTCTTGCGCTTCACTTGCATCTTGGATCCATCGAACACGACTTGGAACCTGCCACCCTTGTTGATCTGTGGCACCGAAAGCAGATTCTTGCTCATACTTGGTACGAACAGTGCGTCCTTGATCTCGATATCGCGTTCGTCACCATTGGGCAGAACCACCCGTTCCATGATGGTTCCCACACCCTTGATCGCAGCCTTGCTGCCATCAGCCACTGATAGTTCGCCTTCCTCTCGCTCATTCAGGCTTGCAAACTTGGCTTTGTCGTTGCAGATGTGATGCGTCGCACCGCTGTCGACTGCCCACATCCCTGGCATATTCTTGCCCGTCGAAAGTCCAGCCTCCAGCGAAACCGCGAACGCAACTCGATCGTAGTTGTCGTCGTTGTTGTTGTTGGTTCGCCACTGAACGTTGTTGGCTCCGCGTCCACGAGCATTGTTGCCGCCGCGTCGAGCTCCACCTTGATTTTCGTCCTTCTGCTTGGTCCAGCACCGCTCCGCCGTGTGCCCCAATTTTCCGCAGTATGTACACTGGCGAGGTTCACGCTCGGTAAACGCCTTGGCCGCGTCTTCAGTCTTCACCGATGTCGTCTTGTCACCTTGCCGCTTGATATGCTCGTTTGTGAGAACTTTCACGACGTCCCGCGATCGAAGCTCTGCGCTGTTCATCTCCAAGTTGAGAACTACGTTCTCAAAAGTCTTGGGCAGACTGCGCAGTAAGCAGATCGCAACGTCCCCGTCCTTCATCTTGGGACCGATGCTAGCCAGCTTCGCGCTGATGTTGAGGACCTCATTGCAATGATGCAGCATATTGCCGCCTTCGCCATCTCCATACTGAAGAGCTGGCGCTAAGTAGATGCGTCCAGCCTTCTGCGACCCGCCGTACAGCGTCTTCAAACGCGCCCACGCGACCCACGCCTCTTCACAGTCATCAACCACGTGATGATAATCCGCGCTCATGTGCAGCAGCATCAAGCCGAACGCAATGTTGTTCGTCTTGACGTAGTCGTCACTGGCGCGAGGATCGGCGAAGGTGGGGGTGGTCTCCCGGTTCACCACGTGCCACGCCGACTTGGTCAGGAACACGCCACGCATGTAGCGGCTCCACGTCGCGTAGTTGTCGCCGTCGAACTTGTCAATGGAGATCTTGGTGGTGGCATCATGAGCAGAGGACATCGTGCTTGGGCTCATAACCTGTTGAGGGGTGAAAAGCTTGACGACCGAAACTGGGAGTGATGCTGGGAGTCCACTCGGAAGACCGGAGAAGACACTTGGGGGGTAGATGGAAGATTGGAAAGTGATTGATCATCGGGGCTTACTACTTACTACATGATTTATATGTGGTGCACATATAAATCATGTGAAGCGTCTCATCATCCTACGCGTCTAATCAACTATGGTAATTACCGTAAGAACTACGTCGTAAATACTAAGCTGAACAGGCGGTTCGGATTGGACCGGTCACGGTTACCAATACTGGTAGAACCGATGACCGTCACCAAAACTCAGTTCGGCACGAAGATCAAGTTTGTTCGGCACGATGGAGCGCATGAGTTTGTGACCAACTCCATCAAGACCTTCTACGAAGATCATGGTATCGAACAACAGATCACGGTGCCGTATGCACACCAGACCAACGGCACCGCAGAACGCGCGATAAGGACCATCGTCACGATCGGACGCAGCTTGTTGCATCATGCAAAACTGGAGAAGTGTTTCTGGGCTGAAGCGGCAATGACGGCGATCTACATCAAGAACCGCCTGCCTTCACCCAAGATCGACCACAAGACTCCGTTCGAAATGGTGTACAAGTCGAAACCAAGTGTCAACCACATGCGCGTGTTTGGATGTCGGGCGTTTATCCTGACTCCAAGGGAGAAGCGATTGAAGTGGGACCCGAAGGCTCGTGAAGGGATGTTCATGGGCTACGAAGAAGCGTCAAAAGATTATCGAGTGTACGACATTGAGGCGAGCCAAGTGGTGATCAGTCGTGACATCACCTTCGACGAATCGACTTTTGACTTCTCGATGGACCGACCAAGTGACGATGATGAAGATGTGGAGTTGGACCTCGACCTCCTAGCGATCAACGAGGACGACGTGCGTCAAACCGTCTACAAGCAGACTGGCAAGCGCAAGAGTGAAGCAAGACCCGGCATGTCACGTTCAGCTCGCCCTCGAACTGGGTTGGAACAAGCAAGTGCGCCGGAACACGTCTCCAACCGTCACCAGAAACGACGATCAAGTGCTCCAGAAACGATGTCTGATGACGAAGAAGATGCAAGCGTCTACGATCAAGATGACGACTCGACGCCTCCAACATTTTGGCGTGCAAGTGCAAACGCAGTGGAAGCAACGGACCTAGCAGAACCTGTGACTTTTCAAGACGCGATCAATGGTCCTGATCAAGCTCACTGGCGAAATGCTGTACAGGCGGAACTCAAGTCGATGCATCTTCGTGGAGTTTTCCGTGCGGCAAAACTGCCAAGAGGCCAAGGCGCGATCGGCACCAAGTGGGTGTTCAAGATCAAGCGCAAAGCGGATGGATCGGTCGAGAAATACAAGGAGCGTCTCGTTGCCAAGGGCTTCAAGCAGAAGTACGGCATCGACTACACAGAGACGTTCTCGCCTGTGGTCAAGTTCGTGACACTGCGTATGGTGATCGCGATCACCAAGTATTTCGACTGGCCACTGGACCAACTCGATGTGGTGACAGCCTTTCTCTACGGAGTGATGAAGGAGAAGGTGTACTGTGTGATACCAGAAGGCGTCGAGGTGGATGGCGACTTCGACTGTCTCGAGTTGGTGAAGGCGATCTACGGTCTCAAGCAAGCTTCACGTGTGTGGAACGAGACTTTCGACGAGTTCGTATGCTCCATCGGTTTCGAAGCGTCGGCGTTCGACCCATGTCTCTACATCAAGGTTGTCGACGGTCACTGTGTGCTCGTGCTGGTCTACGTGGATGACGTGTTGGTCACCGGCAGCTCGCTCGAGTTGATTGCGCAGACGAAGGCCGACCTCAAGACGCGTTTCGAGATGACCGACAGTGGCAAGTGTACTTTTGTACTGGGCATCGAACTGGTGGACGAATCGGATGGCAGCGTGACGATGTGCCAGCGACGGTATGTCAACGACATCCTCAAGCGCTTCGGTATGGATGAGTGCAAGGCCACAGCAAGTCCGGTCGACTTGAGCACTCGGCTTGTCGCAAGCACCGAAGCGGCCAAGATCGACGTTCCGTTTCGTGAAGCTGTGGGAGCTTTGATGCACTTGACGACTGCGACGCGCCCGGACATTGCGTATGCTGTGGGGTACGTCTCGCGCTTCATGGAGAATCCGCAGCAAGAACATTGGACGGCGGTGAAGCGCATCTTTCGTTACTTGCAAGGGACCAAGTCGCACGGACTCCGCTTCCAGCCAAGTGACAAGATCGAATTTCGTGGCTACTCGGACGCGGACTGGGCCGGCGACCACGCTGATCGCAAGTCGACTTCGGGATACACTTTCATGCTGATGGGTGCTCCTGTGAGTTGGGGAAGCAAGAAGCAGTCAAGTGTGTCGCTGTCGACGAGTGAAGCGGAATACATCGCACTGAGTCTGGCCATCCAGGAAGGCAAGTGGGTGCATCGCCTGCTATGCGAGATTTCGGCGGCCGCAAACGAACCAGGACCGGACCTCGTCATCCGTGAAGACAACCAGTCGTGCATCAAGATGACGAAGAACCCGGTCAACCACGGCCGTGCCAAGCACATTGATATCAAGTACCATCACATCCGTGATGAGGTCAAGCGCGGTGAAGTGAAGCTCAAGTATTGTGAAACTGCGGTGATGTTAGCGGATATCATGACGAAGGGACTTCATGGACCACGCCACAAGGAGATGACGACGGCTCTCGGGATTCGTGAGCATTCGGATTGAGGGGGCGTGTTGACGGTCATCGGTTTCTACCAGTATTGGTAACCGTGACCGGTCCAATCCGAACCGCCTGTTCAGCTTAGTATTTACGACGTAGTTCTTACGGTAATTACCATAGTTGATTAGACGCGTAGGATGATGAGACGCTTCACATGATTTATATGTGCACCACATATAAATCATGTAGTAAGCAGTAAGCCCCGATAATCAATCACTTTCCAATCTTCCATCTACCCCCCAAGTGTCTTCTCCGGTCTTCCGAGTGAACTCCCAGCATCACTCCCAGTTTCGGTCGTCAAGCTTTTCACCCCTCAACACAAGTGGAACCAGTTGTGCCGACCTACATGCGAGAATGGGTCATGCTCCAGTCGATGTACTTCGCAAGATGATCGCGACCAACATGATCAAGGATGTGCGAGTCCCTCTCAAGTCGGGTGGAGCAACTACATGTCGAGGATGTCAACAAGGGAAAATGGTCCAAAAACCATTTCCAAGCAACCGAGACAAGCGCAGCTACGATACGTTTGAGCTGCTTCATCTGGACATCTGCGGGCCCATGGAAAAGGATTCGCTCGGTGGCAGCAAATATTTGCTGCTGATCATCGACGAAGCCAGTGGATGCATGAAGGGCTTTTGTCTACGAGTGAAGTCCGAGAGTGAAGACTACATCCGGAAATATATCACCATGGTACAGACGCAATTCTGTAAGAAGGTCAAGTTCGTGCGACACGACGGAGCTCGCGAGTTTGCAACCAACTCGCTTCAACTGTTCTACGAAGACGAAGGCATTGAACAGCAGACAACGGTGCCGTATGCACATCAAACAAACGGAACAGCAGAGCGTGCCATTAGGACTATTGTCACGATCGGCCGCAGCATGCTTCATCATGCCAAACTGGACAAGTGTTTCTGGGCCGAAGCAGCGATGACGACCATCTGCGTCAAGAATCGACTGCCGTCACCTAAAGTCGTGCACAAGACCCCGTTTGAGATCGTCTACAACTTGAAACCAAGCGTCAAGCACATGCGAACATTCGGGTGTCAGACATACATACTGACGCCTAAAGAGAATCGACTCAAGTGGGATCCAAAGGCTCGCGCTGGCATATTCGTGGGCTACGAATAAGTTTTGAAGGCATATCGTGTTTATGACATCGAGGCGGGGCTGGTGGTTATCAGCCGCGATGTCAACTTCGACGAGTCCACCTTTGGACTTCAACTGCCGATCACTGATGAAGATGTCGATGACCTGGACTTCGAATTGCTGGATCTTGATGACGAAGATGTTGACGGTCATCGGTTTATACCAGTATTGGTAACCGTGACCGGTCCAATCCGAACCGCCTGTTCAGCTTAGTATTTACGACGTAGTTCTTACGGTAATTACCATAGTTGATTAGACGCGTAGGATGATGAGACGCTTCACATGATTTATATGTGCACCACATATAAATCATGTAGTAAGCAGTAAGCCCCGATAATCAATCACTTTCCAATCTTCCATCTACCCCCCAAGTGTCTTCTCCGGTCTTCCGAGTGAACTCCCAGCATCACTCCCAGTTTCGGTCGTCAAGCTTTTCACCCCTCAACACAAGTGGAACCAGTTGTGCCGACCTACATGCGAGAATGGGTCATGCTCCAGTCGATGTACTTCGCAAGATGATCGCGACCAACATGATCAAGGATGTGCGAGTCCCTCTCAAGTCGGGTGGAGCAACTACATGTCGAGGATGTCAACAAGGGAAAATGGTCCAAAAACCATTTCCAAGCAACCGAGACAAGCGCAGCTACGATACGTTTGAGCTGCTTCATCTGGACATCTGCGGGCCCATGGAAAAGGATTCGCTCGGTGGCAGCAAATATTTGCTGCTGATCATCGACGAAGCCAGTGGATGCATGAAGGGCTTTTGTCTACGAGTGAAGTCCGAGAGTGAAGACTACATCCGGAAATATATCACCATGGTACAGACGCAATTCTTTAAGAAGGTCAAGTTCGTGCGACACGACGGAGCTCGCGAGTTTGCAACCAACTTGCTTCAACTGTTCTACGAAGACGAAGGCATTGAACAGCAGACAACGGTGCCGTATGCACGTCAAACAAACGGAACAGCAGAGCGTGCCATTAGGACTATTGTCACGATCGGCTGCAGCATGCTTCATCATGCCAAACTGGACAAGTGTTTCTGGGCCGAAGCAGCGATGACGACCATCTACGTCAAGAATCGACTGCCGTCACCTAAAGTCGTGCACAAGACCCCGTTTGAGATCGTCTACAACTTGAAACCAAGCGTCAAGCACATGCGAACATTCGGGTGTCAGACATACATACTGACGCCTAAAGAGAATCGACTCAAGTGGGATCCAAAGGCTCGCGCTGGCATATTCGTGGGCTACGAATAAGTTTTGAAGGCATATCGTGTTTATGACATCGAGGCGGGGCTGGTGGTTATCAGCCGCGATGTCAACTTCGACGAGTCCACCTTTGGACTTCAACTGCCGATCACTGATGAAGATGTCGATGACCTGGACTTCGAATTGCTGGATCTTGATGACGAAGATGTTGACGGTCATCGGTTTATACCAGTATTGGTAACCGTGACCGGTCCAATCCGAACCGCCTGTTCAGCTTAGTATTTACGACGTAGTTCTTACGGTAATTACCATAGTTGATTAGACGCGTAGGATGATGAGACGCTTCACATGATTTATATGTGCACCACATATAAATCATGTAGTAAGTAGTAAGCCCCGATGATCAATCACTTTCCAATCTTCCATCTACCCCCAAGTGTCTTCTCCGGTCTTCCGAGTAGACTCCCAGCATCACTCCCAGTTTCGGTCGTCAAGCTTTTCACCAATCAACAGGTTATGAGCCCAAGCACGATGTCCTCTGCTCATGATGCCACCACCAAGATCTCCATTGACAAGTTCGACGGCGACAACTACGCGACGTGGAGCCGCTACATGCGTGGCGTGTTCCTGACCAAGTCGGCGTGGCACGTGGTGAACCGGGAGACCACCCCCACCTTCGCCGATCCTCGCGCCAGTGACGACTACGTCAAGACGAACAACATTGCGTTCGGCTTGATGCTGCTGCACATGAGCGCGGATTATCATCACGTGGTTGATGACTGTGAAGAGGCGTGGGTCGCGTGGGCGCGCTTGAAGACGCTGTACGGCGGGTCGCAGAAGGCTGGACGCATCTACTTGAAGCGCCAGCTGTTCAGCATGGAGATGGCGGAAGGCGGCAATGTAATGCATCGTTTCAATGAAGTCCTCAACATCAGCGCGAAGCTCAGCAGCATCGGCGCCAAGATGGAGGATGAGGACGTGGCGATCTGCTTGTTGTGCAGCCTCTCAAAGAGCTACGAGAACGTCGTGCTGAACTTGGAGATGAGCAGCGCGGAACTGCGATCGCGAGACGTCGTGAGAGTGCTCACGAATGAGCACATCAAGAGGCAAGGTGACAAGACGACATCGGTGAAGACTGAAGACGCGGCGAAGGCGTTCAGTACCGAGCGTGAGCCTCGCCAGTGTACATACTGCGGAAAATTGGGGCACACGGCGGAGCGGTGCTGGACCAAGCAGAAGGACGAAAATCAAGGTGGAGCTCGACGCGGCGGCAACAATGCTCGTGGACGCGGAGCCAACAACGTTCAGTGGCGAACCAACAACAACAACGACGACAACTACGATCGAGTTGCGTTCGCGGTTTCGCTGGAGGCTGGACTTTCGACGGGCAAGAATATGCCAGGGATGTGGGCAGTCGACAGCGGTGCGACGCACCACATCTGCAACGACAAGGCCAAGTTTGCAAGCCTGAATGAGCGAGAGGAAGGCGAACTATCAGTGGCTGATGGCAGCAAGGCTGCGATCAAGGGTGTGGGAACCATCATGGAACGGGTGGTTCTGCCCAATGGTGACGAACGCGACATCGAGATCAAGGACGCACTGTTCGTACCAAGTATGAGCAAGAATCTGCTTTCGGTACCACAGATCAACAAGGGTGGCAGGTTCCAAGTCGTGTTCGATGGATCCAAGATGCAAGTGAAGCGCAAGAATTCCACACAAGTCGTGGCAACAGCGGATCTCGTCGATGGACTTTACTGGCTGCGGACTCCTCAACGATCGGCAAATGCAGCAACACGCAATGGGACCATCGACTTGCATGCGCGCATGGGTCATGCACCCCTCGAAGTTCTGCACAAGACGGTGGCCACTGGCATGATCAAGGACGCAAAAAAGGCACCTCTCAACTCGAATGGTCCAAGTGTGTGTCGCGGTTGCCAGCAAGGAAAGATGGTCCAAAAACCATTCCCAACCAACCGTGACAAACGCCAATATGGTGTGTTCGAGTTGCTGCACTTCGACATCTGCGGGCCAATGGAACAAGTCTCGATCGGCGGCAGCAGATACTTACTGCTTGTGGTTGACGAAGCCAGCGGTTGCATGAAGGGCTTCTGTCTGCGGTCCAAGTCTGAGAGTGAAGACTGTATCAAGAACCACATTATCAAGATTCAAACTCAATTCGGCACGAAGATCAAGTTTGTTCGGCACGATGGAGCGCATGAGTTTGTTACCAACTCCATCAAGACCTTCTACGAAGATCATGGTATCGAACAACAGATCACGGTGCCGTATGCACACCAGACCAACGGCACCGCAGAACGCGCGATAAGGACCATCGTCACGATCGGACGCAGCTTGTTGCATCATGCAAAACTGGAGAAGTGTTTCTGGGCTGAAGCGGCAATGACGGCGATCTACATCAAGAAACGCCTGCCTTCACCCAAGATCGACCACAAGACTCCGTTCGAAATCGTGTACAAGTCGAAACCAAGTGTCAACCACATGCGCGTGTTTGGATGTCGGGCGTTTATCCTGACTCCAAGGGAGAAGCGATTGAAGTGGGACCCGAAGGCTCGTGAAGGGATGTTCATGTACTACGAAGAAGCGTCAAAAGCTTATTGAGTGTACGACATTGAGGCGGACCAAGTGGTGATCAGTCGTGACATCACCTTCGACGAATCGACTTTTGATTTTTCGATGGACCGACCAAGTGACGATGATGAAGATGTGGAGTTGGACCTCGACCTCCTAGCGATCAACGAGGACGACGTGCGTCAAACCGTCTACAAGCAGACTGGCAAGCGCAAGAGTGAAGCAAGACCCGGCATGTCACGTTCAGCTCGCCCTCGAACTGGGTTGGAACAAGCAAGTGCGCCGGAACACGTCTCCAACCGTCACCAGAAACGACGATCAAGTGCTCCAGAAACGATGTCTGATGACGAAGAAGATGCAAGCGTCTACGATCAAGATGACGACTCGACGCCTCCAACATTTTGGCGTGCAAGTGCAAACGCAGTGGAAGCAACGGACCTAGCAGAACCTGTGACTTTTCAAGACGCGATCAATGGTCCTGATCAAACTCACTGGCGAAATGCTGTGAAGGCGGAACTCAAGTCGATGCATCTTCGTGGAGTTTTCCGTGCGGCAAAACTGCCAAGAGGCCAAGGCGCGATAGGCACCAAGTGGGTGTTCAAGATCAAGCGCAAAGCGGATGGATCGGTCGAGAAATACAAGGCGCGTCTCGTTGCCAAGGGCTTCAAGCAGAAGTACGGCATCGACTACACAGAGACGTTCTCGCCCGTGGTCAAGTACGTGACACTGCGTATGGTGATCGCGATCACCAAGTATTTCGACTGGCCACTGGACCAACTCGATGTGGTGACAGCCTTTCTCTACGGAGTGATGAAGGAGAAGGTGTACTGTGTGATACCAGAAGGCGTCGAGATGGATGGCGACTTCGACTGTCTCGAGTTGGTGAAGGCGATCTACGGTCTCAAGCAAGCTTCACGTGTGTGGAACGAGACTTTCGACGAGTTCGTATGCTTTATCGGTTTCAAAGTGTCGGCGTTCGACCCATGTCTCTACATCAAGGTTGTCGACGGTCACTGTGTGCTCGTGCTGGTCTACGTGGATGACGTGTTGGTCACCGGCAGCTCGCTCGAGTTGATTGCGCAGACGAAGGCCGACCTCAAGACGCGTTTCGAGATGACCGACAGTGGCAAGTGTACTTTTGTACTGGGCATCGAACTGGTGGACGAATCGGATGGCAGCGTGACGATGTGCCAGCGACGGTATGTTAACGACATCCTCAAGCGCTTCGGCATGGATGAGTGCAAGGCCACAGCAAGTCCGGTCGACTTGAGCACTCGGCTTGTCGCAAGCAGCGAAGCGGCCAAGATCGACGTTCCGTTTCGTGAAGCTGTGGGAGCTTTGATGCACTTGACGACCGCGACGCGCCCGGACATTGCGTATGCTGTGGGGTACGTCTCGCGCTTCATGGAGAATCCGCAGCAAGAACATTGGACGGCGGTGAAGCGCATCTTTCGTTACTTGCAAGGGACCAAGTCGCACGGACTCCGCTTCCAGCCAAGCGACAAGATCGACTTTCGTGGCTACTCGGACGCGGACTGGGCCGGCGACCACGCTGATCGCAAGTCGACTTCGGGTTACACTTTCATGCTGATGGGTGCTCCTGTGAGTTGGGGAAGCAAGAAGCAGCCAAGTGTGTCGCTGTCGACGAGTGAAGCGGAATACATCGCACTGAGTCTGGCCATCCAGGAAGGCAAGTGGGTGCATCGCCTGCTATGCGAGATTTTGGCGGCCGCAAACGAACCAGGACCGGACCTCGTCATCCGTGAAGACAACCAGTCGTGCATCAAGATGACGAAGAATCCGGTGAATCATGGCCGCGCCAAGCACATCGACATCAAGTACCATCACATCCGTGATGAGGTCAATCGCGGTGAAGTGAAGCTCGAGTATTGCGAGACTTCCGTGATGATGGCGGACATCATGACCAAGGGACTTTCGGGACCTCGTCACAAGGACTTGACGACGGCTCTCGGCATTCGTGCGAGTTCGGATTGAGGGGGCGTGTTGACGGTCATCGGTTTTCTACCAGTATTGGTAACCGTGACCGATCCAATCCGAACCGCCTGTTCAGCTTAGTATTTACGACGTAGTTCTTACGGTAATTACCATAGTTGATTAGACGCGTAGGATGATGAGACGCTTCACATGATTTATATGTGCACCACATATAAATCATGTAGTAAGCAGTAAGCCCCGATAATCAATCACTTTCCAATCTTCCATCTACCCCCCAAGTGTCTTCTCCGGTCTTCCGAGTAGACTCCCAGCATCACTCCCAGTTTCGGTCGTCAAGCTTTACACCCACCAACAGAAGAGCTGCGTCAAATGGAGTACAAGCAAACAGGCAAGCGCAAGAACCGACTCAATGATGAAGATACAGCAGCTCCACCACCGCGTGCAGTGCGTCAACGACCAGGACTCGAAGAGTCAAGCGCGCCGGAAAACAACTCGTCACGCCAAGAAGAAGACGAAGAAACGAAGGATTCTGATGATTCAACACCGCCTGTGTTTTGGCGTGCGAGTGCAAATGCCGTTGAAGCAGCAGTGGACTTATCAGAGCCCTCAACATTTGAAGCAGCAGTAAGCGGCCCTGACCAAGTGCACTGGAGAAAAGCAATTCATGCAGAGATCGAGTCAATGCGACTTCGCGGTGTGTTTCGTGCAGCCAAGCTGCCCAACGGACAACGCGCCATTGGCACAAAATGGGTGTTCAAGATCAAGCGCAAGGCGGATGGGTCAATCGAGAAGTACAAGGCACGACTTGTGGCCAAGGGTTTCCGCCAAAAGTATGGCATCGACTACACGGAGACGTTTTCGCCTGTGGTCAAGTATGTGACGCTGCGAATGGTGATCGCAATTTCCAAGCATTTTGGATGGCCCATCGACCAGCTTGATGTGGTGACAGCTTTCCTGTATGGCGTCATGAAGGAACAAGTGTTCTGCGTGATTCCTGAAGGCGTCGAACTTGACAGTACTTTCGACTGCCTGGAATTGGTGAAGTCAATTTACGGCCTCAAGCAAGCGTCGCGAGTGTGGAACGAGACGTTCGACGAGTATGTGTGCTCCATCGGATTTCAAGTATCGGACTTCGACCCATGTCTCTACATCAAGACTTCGGACGGCCATTGCGTGTTTATACTGGTCTACGTGGACGACGTCTTGGTGACTGGAAGCTCGCTCGAGCTGATTGCACAAACCAAGAACGACCTGAAGACGCGGTTCGAGATGACGGACAGCGGCAAGTGTGCGTTTGTTCTTGGGATCGAGCTTTTGGACGATGAAGATGGCAGTGTGACACTATGTCAGCGTCGGTATGTCGATGATATCCTCAAGCGCTTTAGCATGGATGATTGCAAGGCAGTCGCAAGTCCAGTCGACATGAGCTCTCGACTTGTTTCAAGTGATGCAACTACCAAGGTCGATGCTCCTTTTCGCGAAGCTGTTGGTTTGTTGATGCACCTGACCACTGCAACGCGTCCGGACATTGCGTTTGCTGTGGGCTATGTGTCGCGGTTCATGGAAAATCCCCAAGAAGAACACTGGGTTGCAGTTAAGCGTATCTTTCGCTACCTACGAGGCACCAAGACGCATGGAATTTGCTACAAGCCAAGTGCAAGGATCGACTTCCGTGGATATTCGGATGCGGATTGGACTGGTGATCTTACCGACCGCAAGTCAACATCGGGGTACACGTTCATGCCACTCGGTGCGCCAGTGAGTTGGGGCAGCAAGAAGTAGCCAAGTGTTTCGTTGTCCACGACTGAAGCTGAATACATCGCACTCAGCTTGGCGATTCAAGAGGGCAAGTGGATTCATCGTCTGCTTTGTGAGATCGTGATGGCTGCCAATGAAGAAGGACCGGAACTCATGATTCATGAAGACAATCAGTCATGTATCAAGATGACGAAGAACCCGGTCAACCACGGCCGTGCCAAGCACATTGATATCAAGTACCATCACATCCGTGATGAGGTCAAGCGCGGTGAAGTGAAGCTCAAGTACTGTGAAACTGCGATGATGTTAGCGGACATCATGACGAAGGGACTTCATGTACCACGCCACAAGGAGATGACGACGGCTCTCGGGATTCGTGAGCATTCGGATTGAGGGGGCGTGTTGACGGTCATCGTTTTTCTACCAGTATTGGTAACCGTGACCGATCCAATCCGAACCGCCTGTTCAGCTTAGTATTTACGACGTAGTTCTTACGGTAATTACCATAGTTGATTAGACGCGTAGGATGATGAGACGCTTCACATGATTTATATGTGCACCACATATAAATCATGTAGTAAGCAGTAAGCCCCGATAATCAATCACTTTCGAATCTTCCAACTATTGGGCAAGTGTTTTCTGCTCTACTCTCTTCGGTCTCTCCGCTCCGTTCGCTCCGCTTTCCTCGCTCCGATCTACAATGCAACAGTTTGCAGTATCGTTCGAATGTGGAGTTTCGACGAGCAAGGATGTGTCTGGAATGTGGGCCGTCGACAGTGGTGCAACGCACCACATTTGCCACGACAAGACCAAGTTCGCAAGTTTGGCAGAGCGCAATGAGGGCGAACTCTTGGTGGCTGATGGCAACAAGGTGGCCATCAAGGGTGTGGGAACCATCATGGAAAAGGTGGTTCTGCCCAACGGTGAAGAGCGTGAGATCGAAATCAAGAACGCGCTATATGTTCCAAGTATGAGCAAGAACCTGCTCTCGGTACCACAGATTAACAGCCATGGCAAGTTTCAAGTCGTGTTTGACGGGTCCAAGATGTATGTGACTCTCAAGAACTCACAGCAAGTGGTGGCGACAGCGGATCTCGTGGATGGACTCTACTGGCTTCGGACGACTCAACGATCAGCGAATGTGGCAACAAGTGGAACCAGTTGTGCCGATCTACATGCGATAATGGGTCATGCTCCAGTCGATGTACTTCGCAAGATGATCGCGACCAACATGATCAAAGATGTGGGAGTGCCTCTCAAGTCGGGTGGAGCAACTACATGTCGAGGATGTCAGCAAGGGAAAATGGTCCAAAACCCATTCCCAAGCAATCGTGACAAGCGAAGTTACGACACGTTTGAGCTGCTTCATCTGGACATCTGCGGGCCCATGGAAAAGGATTCGCTCGGTGGCAGCAAATATTTGCTGCTGATCATCGACGAAGCCAGTGGATGCATGAAGGGCTTTTGTCTACGAGTGAAATCCGAGAGTGAAGACTACATCCGGAAATATATCACCATGGTACAGACGCAATTCTGTAAGAAGGTCAAGTTCGTGCGACACGACGGAGCTCGCGAGTTTGCAACCAACTCGCTTCAGCTGTTCTACGAAGACGAAGGCATTGAACAGCAGACAACGGTTTCATGTACACGTCAAACAAACGGAACAGCAGAGCGTGCCATTAGGACTATTGTCACGATCGGCCGCAGCATGCTTCATCATGCCAAACTGGACAAGTGTTTCTGGGTCGAAGCAGCGATGACGGCCATCTACGTCAAGAATCGACTGCCGTCACCTAAAGTCGTGCACAAGACCCCGTTTGAGATCGTCTACAACTTGAAACCAAGCGTCAAGCACATGCAAACATTCGGGTGTCAGACATACATACTGACGCCTAAAGAGAATCGACTCAAGTGGGATCCAAAGGCTCGCGCTGGCATATTCGTGGGCTACGAATAAGTTTTGAAGGCATATCGTGTTTATGACATCGAGGCGGGGCTGGTGGTTATCAGCCGCGATGTCAACTTCGACGAGTCCACCTTTGGACTTCAACTGCCGATCACTGATGAAGATGTCGATGACCTGGACTTCGAATTGCTGGATCTTGATGACGAAGAGCTGCGTCAAATGGAGTACAAGCAAACAGGCAAGCGCAAGAACCGACTCAATGATGAAGATACAGCAGCTCCACCACCGCGTGTAGTGCGTCAACGACCAGGACTCGAAGAGTCAAGCGCGCCGGAAAACAACTCGTCACGCCAAGAAGAAGACGATGAAACGAAGGATTCTGGTGATTCAACACCGCCTGTGTTTTGGCGTGCGAGTGCAAATGCCGTTGAAGCAGCAGTGGACTTATCAGAGCCCTCAACATTTGAAGCAGCAGTAAGCGGCCCTGACCAAGTGCACTGGAGAAGAGCAATTCATGCAGAGATCGAGTCAATGCAACTTCGCGGTGTGTTTCGTGCAGCCAAGCTGCCCAACGGACAACGCGCCATTGGCACAAAATGGGTGTTCAAGATCAAGCGCAAGGCGGATGGGTCAATCGAGAAGTACAAGGCACGACTTGTGGCCAAGGGTTTCCGCCAAAAGTATGGCATCGACTACACGGAGACGTTTTCGCCTGTGGTTAAGTATGTGACGCTGCGAATGGTGATCGCAATTTCCAAGCATTTTGGATGGCCCATCGACTAGCTTGACGTGGTGACAGTGTTGACGGTCTTCGTTTTTCGACCAGTATTGGTAACCATGACCGATCCAATCCGAACCGCCTGTTCAGCTTAGTATTTACGACGTAGTTCTTACGGTAATTACCATAGTTGATTAGACGCGTAGGATGATGAGACGCTTCACATGATTTATATGTACACCACATATAAATCATGTAGTAAGTAGTAAGTCCCGATAATCAATCACTTTCGAATCTTCCAACTATTGGGCAAGTGTTTTCTGCTCTACTCTCTTCGGTCTCTCCGCTCCGCTTTCCTCGCTCCGATCTACAATGCAACAGGTTGTGAGCCCAAGCGCCATGTCGTCTACCAGCAACGCCTCTATTGACAAGTTCAGCGGAGACAATTACGCAACGTGGAGCCGGTACATGCGCGGTGTGTTTTTGACGAAGTCCGTCTGGCACGTCGTCAACCGTGAAGTGACTCCGACTTTCACCGACCCGCGAGCGTCCGATGACTACGTCAAGGCAAGCAACGTCGCGTTTGGTATGATGCTGCTGCACATGAACGCGGACTACCATCATGTGCTGGACAACTGCGAGGAAGCCTGGGTTGCGTGGACAAGTCTGAAGACGCTGTACGGTGGGTCGCAAAAGGCAGGACGCATCTAACTCAAGCGACAACTTTTCAGTATCAAGATGGCTGAAGGCGCGAACGTCATGCATCACTGCAACGAGGTCCATAACATCTCCGCCAAGCTTAGCGGCATCGGTGCCAAGATGGAAGACGAAGACGTTGCAATTTGTCTGCTACTCAGTCTTCCGAAGAGCTACAAAAATGTAATGCTCAACATGGAAATGAGCAGCACCGAGCTTCGCACTCAAGATGTGGTGAGAGTCCTGACGAATGAGCATGCCAAGCGTCAAGGAAAAAAAGGGACAACGACAGCGACTACGGTGAAGGCTGAAGATACAAGCAAGGCATTCAGCGCCGAGCGTGAGCCCTACCAATGTGTTGTTTGGTGAAAAGGTTGACGACCGAAACTGGGAGTGATGCTGGGAGTCTACTCGGAAGACCGGAGAAGACACTTGGGGGGTAGATGGAAGATTGGAAAGTGATTGATTATCGGGGCTTACTGCTTACTACATGATTTATATGTGGTGCACATATAAATCATGTGAAGCGTCTCATCATCCTACGCGTCTAATCAACTATGGTAATTACCGTAAGAACTACGTCGTAAATACTAAGCTGAACAGGCGGTTCGGATTGGACCGGTCACGGTTACCAATACTGGTAGAAAACCGATGACCGTCAACACGCCCCCTCAATCCGAACTCGCACGAATGCCGAGAGCCGTCGTCAAGTCCTTGTGACGAGGTCCCGAAAGTCCCTTGGTCATGATGTCCGCCATCATCACGGAAGTCTCGCAATACTCGAGCTTCACTTCACCGCGATTGACCTCATCACGGATGTGATGGTACTTGATGTCGATGTGCTTGGCGCGGCCATGATTCACCGGATTCTTCGTCATCTTGATGCACGACTGGTTGTCTTCACGGATGACGAGGTCCGGTCCTGGTTCGTTTGCGGCCGCCAAAATCTCGCATAGCAGGTGATGCACCCACTTGCCTTCCTGGATGGCCAGACTCAGTGCGATGTATTCCGCTTCACTCGTCGACAGCGACACACTTGACTGCTTCTTGCTTCCCCAACTCACAGGACCACCCATCAGCATAAAAGTGTAACCCGAAGTCGACTTGCGATCAGCGTGGTCGCCGGCCCAGTCCGCGTCCGAGTAGCCACGAAAGTCGATCTTGTCGCTTGGCTGGAAGCGGAGTCCGTGCGACTTGGTCCCTTGCAAGTAACGAAAGATGCGCTTCACCGCCGTCCAATGTTCTTGCTGCGGATTCTCCATGAAGCGCGAGACGTACCCCACAGCATACGCAATGTCCGGGCGCGTCGCAGTCGTCAAGTGCATCAAAGCTCCCACAGCTTCACGAAACGGAACGTCGATCTTGGCCGCTTCGGTGCTTGCGACAAGCCGAGTGCTCAAGTCGACCGGACTTGCTGTGGCCTTGCACTCATCCATGCCGAAGCGCTTGAGGATGTCGTTGACATACCGTCGCTGGCACATCGTCACGCTGCCATCCGATTCGTCCACCAGTTCGATGCCCAGTACAAAAGTACACTTGCCACTGTCGGTCATCTCGAAACGCGTCTTGAGGTCGGCCTTCGTCTGCGCAATCAACTCGAGCGAGCTGCCGGTGACCAACACGTCATCCACGTAGACCAGCACGAGCACACAGTGACCGTCGACAACCTTGATGTAGAGACATGGGTCGAACGCCGACGCCTCGAAACCGATAGAGCATACGAACTCGTCGAAAGTCTCGCTCCACACACGTGAAGCTTGCTTGAGACCGTAGATCGCCTTCACCAACTCGAGACAGTCGAAGTCGCCATCCATCTCGACGCCTTCTGGTATCACACAGTACACCTTCTCCTTCATCACTCCGTAGAGAAAGGCTGTCACCACATCGAGTTGGTCCAGTGGCCAGTCGAAATACTTGGTGATCGCGATCACCATACGCAGTGTCACGTACTTGACCACGGGCGAGAACGTCTCTGTGTAGTCGATGCCGTACTTCTGCTTGAAGCCCTTGGCAACGAGACGCGCCTTGTATTTCTCGACCGATCCATCCGCTTTGCGCTTGATCTTTGTTGTAAGTGCATGATGCACTGGATTTGACTCCAGAGATTCGACCCATGATAGGGTATGTCTAGAATGTTCTTTAGGGTTATATGCATTATTATAGGTCGTACGGCAGCTAGACGTATGGATAGTTCTCACTTGTAGATTGACAAACCACTGATAAGGCCCCCGGCGGGGGGGCGAAACGCGTCTGGTGCGCGGTAATATACAAGTCATTTACTTTACCTAACTCCCACTTCTTCAATCTTGAACACCCACTTGGTGCCGATCGCGCCTTGGCCTCTTGGTAGTTTTGCCGCACGGAAAACTCCACGAAGATGCATCGACTTGAGTTCCGCCTTCACAGCATTTCGCCAGTGAGCTTGATCAGGACCATTGATCGCGTCTTGAAAAGTCACAGGTTCTGCTAGGTCCGTTGCTTCCACTGCGTTTGCACTTGCACGCCAAAATGTCGGAGGCGTCGAGTCGTCATCTTGATCGTAGACGCTTGCATCTTCTTCGTCATCAGACATCGTTTCTGGAGCACTTGATCGTCGTTTCTGGTGACGGTTGGAGACGTGTTCCGGCGCACTTGCTTGTTCCAACCCAGTTCGAGGGCGAGCTGAACGTGACATGCCGGGTCTTGCTTCACTCTTGCGCTTGTCAGTCTGCTTGTAGACGGTTTGACGCACGTCGTCCTCGTTGATCGCCAGGAGGTCGAGGTCCAACTCCACATCTTCATCATCGTCACTTGGTCGGTCCATCGAAAAATCAAAAGTCGATTCGTCGAAGGTGATGTCACGACTGATCACCACTTGGTCCGCCTCAATGTCGTACACTCGATAAGCTTTTGACGCTTCTTCGTAGTACATGAACATCCCTTCACGAGCCTTCGGGTCCCACTTCAATCGCTTCTCCCTTGGTGTCAGGATAAATGCCCGACATCCAAACACGCGCATGTGGTTGACACTTGGTTTCGACTTGTACACGATTTCGAACGGAGTCTTGTGGTCGATCTTGGGTGAAGGCAGGCGTTTCTTGATGTAGATCGCCGTCATTGCCGCTTCAGCCCAGAAACACTTCTCCAGTTTTGCATGATGCAACAAGCTGCGTCCGATCGTGACGATGGTCCTTATCGCGCGTTCTGCGGTGCCGTTGGTCTGGTGTGCATACGGCACCGTGATCTGTTGTTCGATACCATGATCTTCGTAGAAGGTCTTGATGGAGTTGGTCGCAAACTCATGCGCTCCATCGTGCCGAAAAAACTTGATCTTCGTGCCGAACTGAGTTTGAATCTTGATGATGTGGTTCTTGATACAGTCTTCACTCTCAGACTTGGACCGCAGACAGAAGCCCTTCATGCAACCGCTGGCTTCGTCAACCACAAGCAGTAAGTATCTGCTGCCGCCGATCGAGACTTGTTCCATTGGCCCGCAGATGTCGAAGTGCAGCAACTCGAACACACCATATTGGCGTTTGTCACGGTTGGTTGGGAATGGTTTTTGGACCATCTTTCCTTGCTGGCAACCGCGACACACACTTGGACCATTCGAGTTGAGAGGTGCCTTGGCGTCCTTGATCATGCCGGTGGCCACCATCTTGCGCAGAACTTCGAGGGGTGCATGACCCATGCGCGCATGCAAGTCGATGGTCCCATTGCGTGTTCCTGCATTTGCCGATCGTTGAGGAGTCCGCAGCCAGTAAAGTCCATCGACGAGATCCGCTGTTGCCACGACTTGTGTGGAATTCTTGCGCTTCACTTGCATCTTGGATCCATCGAACACGACTTGGAACCTGCCACCCTTGTTGATCTGTGGCACCGAAAGCAGATTCTTGCTCATACTTGGTACGAACAGTGCGTCCTTGATCTCGATATCGCGTTCGTCACCATTGGGCAGAACCACCCGTTCCATGATGGTTCCCACACCCTTGATCGCAGCCTTGCTGCCATCAGCCACTGATAGTTCGCCTTCCTCTCGCTCATTCAGGCTTGCAAACTTGGCCTTGTCGTTGCAGATGTGATGCGTCGCACCGCTGTCGACTGCCCACATCCCTGGCATATTCTTGCCCGTCGAAAGTCCAGCCTCCAGCGAAACCGCGAACGCAACTCGATCGAAGTTGTCGTCGTTGCTGTTGTTGGTTCGCCACTGAACGTTGTTGGCTCCGCGTCCACGAGCATTGTTGCCGCCGCGTCGAGCTCTACCTTGATTTTCGTCCTTCTGCTTGGTCCAGCACCGCTCCGCCGTGTGCCCCAATTTTCCGCAGTATGTACATTGGCGAGGTTCACGCTCGGTACTGAACGCCTTCGCCGTATCTTCAGTCTTCACCGATGTCGTCTTGTCACCTTGCCTCTTGATGTGCTCATTTGTGAGCACTCTCACGACGTCTCGCGATCGCAGTTCCGCGCTGCTCATCTCCAAGTTGAGAACGACGTTCTCGTAGCTCTTGGGGAGGCTGCACAACAAGCAGATCGCAACATCCTCGTCCTCCATCTTGGCGCCGATGCTGCTGAGCTTCGCGCTGATGTTGAGGACTTCGTTGCAATGATGCATCACATTGCCGCCTTCCGCCATCTCCATGCTGAACAGCTGGCGCTTCAAGTAGATGCGTCCAGCCTTCTGCGACCCGCCGTACAGCGTCTTCAAACGCGCCCACGCGACCCACGCCTCTTCACAGTCATCAACCACGTGATGATAATCCGCGCTCATGTGCAGAAGCATCAAGCCGAACGCAATATTGTTCGTCTTGACGTAGTTGTTGACGGTCATCGGTTTTCTACCAGTGTTGGTAACCGTGACCGATCCAATCCGAACCGCCTGTTCAGCTTAGTATTTACGACGTAGTTCTTACGGTAATTACCATAGTTGATTAGACGCGTAGGATGATGAGACGCTTCACATGATTTATATGTACACCACATATAAATCATGTAGTAAGTAGTAAGTCCCGATAATCAATCACTTTCGAATCTTCCAACTATTGGGCAAGTGTTTTCTGCTCTACTCTCTTCGGTCTCTCCGCTCCGTTCGCTCCGCTTTCCTCGCTCCGCTTTCCTCGCTCCGATCTACAATGCAACAGGTTATGAGCCCAAGCGCCATGTCGTCCACCAGCAACGCCTCTATTGACAAGTTCAGCGGAGACAATTACGCAACGTGGAGCCGGTACATGCGCGGTGTGTTTTTGACGAAGTCCGTCTGGCACGTCGTCAACCGTGAAGTGACTCCGACTTTCACCGACCCGCGAGCGTCCGATGACTACGTCAAGGCAAGCAACGTCGCGTTTGGTATGATGCTGCTGCACATGAACGCGGACTACCATCATGTGCTGGACAACTGCGAGGAAGCCTGGGTTGCGTGGACCAGTCTGAAGACGCTGTACGGTGGGTCGCAGAAGGCAGGACGCATCTACCTCAAGCGACAACTTTTCAGCATCAAGATGGCTGAAGGCGCGAACGTCATGCATCACTGCAACGAGGTCCATAACATCTCCGCCAAGCTTAGCGGCATCGGTGCCAAGATGGAAGACGAAGACGTTGCAATTTGTCTGCTACTCAGTCTTCCGAAGAGCTACGAAAATGTGGTACTCAACATGGAAATGAGCAGCACCGAGCTTCGCACTCAAGATGTGGTGAGAGTCCTGACGAATGAGCATGCCAAGCGTCAAGGAGAAAAAGGGACAACGACAGCGACTACGGTGAAGGCTGAAGAGGCAAGCAAGGCATTCAGCGCCGAGCGTGAGCCCTACCAATGCACATATTGTGGCAAGGTGGGGCACACGGTGGATCGTTGCTGGACAAAACAGAAGAACGAAGGTCGGGGAGCCCGACGCGGCGGCAATGGTCGTGGACGCGGGGCTAACAATGTCCAGTGGGGACATCATGATGAAGGCAATGGCTACGATCGAGTGGCGTTTGCAGTCTCGTTCGAATGTGGAGTTTCGACGAGCAAGGACGTGTCTGGAATGTGGGCCGTCGACAGTGGTGCAACGCACCACATTTGCCACGACAAGACCAAGTTCGCAAGTTTGGCAGAGCGCAATGAGGGCGAACTCTTGGTGGCTGATGGCAACAAGGTGGCCATCAAGGGTGTGGGAACCATAATGGAAAAGGTGGTTCTGCCCAACGGTGAAGAGCGTGAGATCGAAATCAAGAACGCGCTCTATGTGCCCAGCATGAGCAAGAACCTGCTCTCGGTACCACAGATTAACAGCCATGGCAAGTTTCAAGTCGTGTTTGACGGGTCCAAGATGTATGTGACTCTCAAGAACTCACAGCAAGTGGTGGCGACAGCGGATCTCGTGGATGGACTCTACTGGCTTCGGACGACTCAACGATCAGCGAATGTGGCAACAAGTGGAACCAGTTGTGCCGATCTACATGCGAGAATGGGTCATGCTCCAGTCGATGTACTTCGCAAGATGATCGCGACCAACATGATCAAGGATGTGCGAGTCCCTCTCAAGTCGGGTGGAGCAACTACATGTCGAGGATGTCAACAAGGGAAAATGGTCCAAAAACCATTTCCAAGCAACCGAGACAAGCGCAGCTACGATACGTTTGAGCTGCTTCATCTGGACATCTGCGGGCCCATGGAAAAGGATTCGCTTGGTGGCAGCAAATATTTGCTGCTGATCATCGACGAAGCCAGTGGATGCATGAAGGGCTTTTTTCTACGAGTGAAATCCGAGAGTGAAGACTACATCCGGAAATATATCACCATGGTACAGACGCAATTCTGTAAGAAGGTCAAGTTCTTGCGTCACGATGGAGCTCGAGAGTTTGCAACCAACTCTCTCAAGCCGTTCTACCAAGACCAAGGTATTGAGCAGCAGACCACGGTTTCATGTACACGTCAAACAAACGGAACAGCAGAGCGTGCCATTAGGACTATTGTCAAGATCGGCCGCAGCATGCTTCATCATGCCAAACTGAACAAGTGTTTCTGGGCCGAAGCAGCGATGACGGCCATCTACGTCAAGAATCGACTGCCGTCACCTAAAGTCGTGCACAAGACCCCGTTTGAGATCGTCTACAACTTGAAACCAAGCGTCAAGCACATGCGAACATTCGGATGTCAGACGTACATACTGACGCCTAAAGAGAATCGACTCAAGTGGGATCCAAAGGCTCGCGCTGGCATATTCGTGGGCTACGAACAAGTTTAGGGGTATTTTGTTTTTGAAGGGGGGGGGGGGGGGGGGGGTATGTAGCCGGGTGTTAACTCATCGGAGTCTTTTTTTGTTTTTCAACTCACAATCACTGATGAAGGTGTCGATGGCTGGGCTTGGATTTGGTGTGTTTTGTTGTGTTGTTGATTGAGCGCGAGGCGAAGAGAAAACGAAGCGGAGAGACCGGAGAGAACGAAGCAGAGAACACTTGCTCACTTGAGGGAGGATTCGAAAGTGATTGATTTATAGGTCTTAACTTCTGCCTACCCTAGACTGCATCCAATCACATGGTGCATCTAATCAACCTGATTTACACGCGTCCAATCATCCTACGCGTCTAATCATCTCTGAGGTAATTACCGGTGTAAAAACTATCTCGTAAGAACTACGCGCTAGGTTCGGATTGTACCGGTAACCCTCAATACGCCCCCTCAATCCGAACACGCACGGATGCCAAGCGCCGCCGTCAAGTCCTTGTGACGCGGTCCGTGAAGTCCCTTCGTCATGATGTCCGCCAACATCAACGTCGTCTCGCAGTATTCAAGCTTCACTTCGCCGCGCTTGACTTCATCACGGATGTGATGGTACTTGATGTCGATGTGTTTAGCGCGGCCGTGGTTGACCGGATTCTTCGTCATCTTGATGCACGACTGGTTGTCTTCACGGATGACGAGCTCGGGTCCTTCTTCGTTTGCAGCCGCCATGATCTCGCACAGCAAGCGATTGATCCACTTGCCTTCTTGGATCGCCAGGCTGAGCGCGATGTACTCCGCTTCACTTGTAGACAGTGACACACTTGGCTGTTTCTTGCTGCCCCAACTCACCGGAGCACCCAATAGCATGAAGACGTAGCCGGACGTCGATTTGCGATCAGCAAGGTCACCGGCCCAGTCTGCATCTGAATAGCCACGAAAGTCGATCTTCGCACTTGGCTTGTAGCAGATTCCATGCATCTTGGTGCCTTGTAGGTAGCGGAAGATGCGCTTGACTGCAACCCAGTGTTCTTCTTGGGGTTTCTCCATGAACCGTGACACAAAGCTTACAGCATAGGCGATGTCCGGTCGCGTTGCAGTCGTCAGATGCATCAAAGCACCCACTGCTTCACGGAATGGGACATCCACCTTGCTTGCAGAGTTGCTCGGAACCAGTCGAGAGCTGACGTCCACCGGACTTGCCACAGCCTTGCACTCATCCATTCCAAAGCGCTTGAGGACATCGTCGACATAACGGCGCTGACACATAGTCACGCTGCCATCTTCACTGTCCAATAACTCGATCCCAAGAACAAAGGCACACTTGCCGCTGTCCGTCATCTCGAAGCGTGTCTTGAGGTCGTTCTTGGTGCGCGCAATCATCTCGAGCGAGCTTCCAGTCACCAAGACATCGTCCACGTAGACCAGCACAAAAACACAATGGCCTTCCGAAGTCATGATGTAGAGACATGGATCGAATCCCGACGCTTGAAAACCAATCGAGCGTATGAACTCGTCGAAGGTCTCGTTCCAAACACGCGAGGCTTGCTTGAGACCGTAGATCGCCTTGATCAGCTCGAGACAGTCAAAATCACCTTCCATCTTGACGCCTTCCGGAACAGCGCAGAACACCTTCTCCTTCATCACTCCATACAGGAACGCAGTCACCACATCGAGCTGGTCGAGGGGCCATCCAAAGTGCTTGGTAATGGCGATGACCATTCGCAGCGTCACATACTTGACCACGGGCGAGAACGTCTCCGTGTAGTCGATGCCATACTTTTGGCGAAAACCCTTGGCCACAAGTCGTGCCTTGTATTTCTCGATCGACCCATCCGCCTTGCGCTTGATCTTGAAGACCCACTTTGTGCCAATGGCGCTTTGTCCGTTGGGTAACTTGGCCGCACGAAAGACACCGCGAAGCTTCATCGAATCGAGCTCCGCATCAATTGCCTTGCGCCAGTGTACTTGGTCCGGGCCAGACACTGCTTCTTCAAATGTCGACGGCTCCGAAAAATCGACCGCTGCTTCGACGGCGTTTGCACTCGCATGCCAAAACGCGGAGGAAGTCGGTGTGTCATGTTGTTCCTCCGACTTCCTTTCTTCATCTTCGTTGGCTCGACGTGAAGAGATGTCATCCGGCGCACTTGACTCTTCCAATCCGGGTCGTTGGCGCACTGCTCGGGGCATGCTTGCGTCGTCATTGTCGTGACTGGGTTGGGCCTTGCGCTTTCCTGTTTGTTTGAAGTGTCTCGGACGCGGTTCTTCATCATCAAGATCGATCGATTCGAAGTCCAGGCCATCAACATTGTCATCGGAAATCAGCATCGACATTCCAAAGGCCGACTCATCGAATTTGACATCGCGACTTATCATCACCTGCCCGGCTTCGATGTCATAAACTCGATACGCCTTGGACACTTCTTCGTAGCCCAAAAACAATCCAGCCCGGGCCTTGGGATCCCACTTGAGTCGTTTCTCCTTCGGGGTCAAGATGTATGCTTGGCACCCAAAAACGCGCATGTGCTTGACACTTGGCTTAGAATTGTAGACAATCTCGAACGGTGTCTTGTGTGGAATCTTGGGTGACGGCAAACGGTTCTTCACATAGACGGCCGTCATTGCCGCTTCAGCCCAGAAGCACTTGTCCAACTTGACATGATGGAGCATGCTACGACCGATGGTGACGATAGTTCGAATCGCGCGTTCAGCAGTTCCATTGGCTTGATGTGCGTATGGCACCGTGGTTTGTTGCTCGATGCCTTCGACTTCGTAGAAATCTTGAAGCGAGTTTGTCGCAAACTCGCGGGCTCCATCGTGTCGCACAAATTTGACTTTCTTGTTGAACTGCGTCTGTATCATCGTGATGTACTTCTTGATGCACTCTTCGCTCTCTGACTTGGAATGCAGACAAAAACCCTTCATGCATCCGCTGGCTTCATCCACGATCAGCAGCAGATACTTGCTGCCACCCAGAGATTTTTCTTCCATGGGTCCGCAGATGTCGAAGTGGAGCATCTCGAAGGTGTTGTAGGTGCGCTTGTCACGGTTGCTCGGGAATGGTTTTTGGACCATCTTCCCTTCTTGGCATCCTCGACACACACTTGATCCATTCGGCTTGGAAGGGATGTGAGCGTCCTTGATCATGTGGCTTGTCACCATCCTGCGAAGTACGTCGACTGGAGCATGGCCCATTCGCGCATGTAGATCAACAGCGTTGCTGAGTGATGTCGCATTGGCCGATCGCTGCGTCGTGCGAAGCCAGTAGAGTCCGTCTACAAGATCCGCAGCTGCCACCACTTGATTGGAATCCTTGCGAGCGACGTACATCGTATCACCGTCAAACGCCACTTGGAAGTTGCCGTGCTTGTTAATCTGCGGCACCGAGAGTAGATTTTTGCTCATGCTGGGCACATAGAGCGCGTTCTTGATCTCGATCTCGCGCTCTTCCCCGTTTGGCAGAATCACCTTTTCCACGATGGTCCCCACACCTTTGATGGCTGCCTTGTTGCCATCAGCCACCAGGATCTCGCCATCATTGCCTTCGACCAAGCTTGCAAACTTGAACTTGTCGTGGCAGATGTGATGTGTTGCCCCGCTGTCAACGGCCCACATTCCTGGTCCATTCTTGTTCGTCGAAACTCCGCATTCGAACGAAACTGCAAACGCCACTCGATCGTAGCTGTAGCCTTCATCATAATGTCGCCACTGGACATTGTTTGCCCCTCGTCCACGACCATTGCCGCCGCGTTGGGCTCCTCGACTTTCATCCTTTTGCTTCGTCCAGCAACGCTCTGCCGTGTGCCCCACCTTGCCGCAGTATGTGCATTGGTAGGGCTTGCGCTCGGTACTGAATGCCTTTGTCGCATCTTCAGTCTTCACCGTTGTCGTTGCCGTTGTCATCTTCTCGCCTTGTCGCTTGATGTGCTCGTTAGTCAGCACCTTGACCACATCTTGCGTGCGCAGCTCTGCATTGCTCATCTCCAAGTTCAGAACCACGTTCTCGAAACTCTTCGGGAGACTGAGCAGCAAGCAGATCGCAATGTCTTCGTCTTCCATCTTGGCACCGATGCTGCTGAGCTTGGCGCCGATGTTCAAGACTTCGTTGCAATGGTGCAAGACGTTGGCACCTTCCGCCATCTTGATGCTGAACAGCTGGCGCTTGAGGTAGATGCGTCCCGCCTTCTGCGACCCACCATAGAGCATCTTCAACCGCGACCACGCTGTCCATGCTTCTTCACAGTTGTCGACCACATGGTGGTAGTCGGCGTCCATGTGGAGCAACATCAACCCGAACGCGATGTTGCTCGCCTTGACGTACTCGTCGGAAGCTCGCGTGTCGGTGAAGGTTGGAGACGTTTCGCGGTTCACGACGTACCAGACTGACTTCGTCAGAAACACGCCGCGCATGTAGCGACACCAGGTTGAGTAGTTGTCCCCATCGAACTTATCGATGGAGACACTGGCCGAGGTGTTGTTGGACGACATGGCGCTTGGGCTCATAACCTGTTGTTGATTGAGCGCGAGGCGAAGAGAAAGCGAAGCGGAGAGACCGGAGAGAACGAAGCAGAGAACACTTGCTCACTTGAGGGAGGATTCGAAAGTGATTGATTTATAGGTCTTAACTTCTGCCTACCCTAGACTGCATCCAATCACATGGTGCATCTAATCAACCTGATTTACACGCGTCCAATCATCCTACGCGTCTAATCATCTCTGAGGTAATTACCGATGTAAAAACTATCTCGTAAGAACTACGCGCTAGGTTCGGATTGTACCGGTAACCCTCAATAAGTTTCGAAGGCGTATCGTGTTTATGACATCGAGGCGGGGCAGGTGGTTATCAGCCGCGATGTCAACTTCGACGAGTCCACCTTTGGACTTCAACTGCCGATCACTGATGAAGATGTCGATGACCTGGACTTCGAATTGCTGGATCTTGATGACGAAGAGCTGCGTCAAATGGAGTACAAGCAAACAGGCAAGCGCAAGAACCGACTCAATGATGAAGATACAGCAGCCCCACGACCGCGTGCAGTGCGTCAACGACCAGGACTAGAAGAGTCAAGCGCGCCGGAAAACAACTCGTCACTCCAAGAAGAAGACGAAGAAACGAAGGATTCTGGTGATTCAATACCGCCTGTGTTTTGGCGTGCGAGTGCAAATGCCGTTGAAGCAGCAGTGGACTTATCAGAGCCCTCAACATTTGAAGCAGCAGTAAGCGGCCCTGACCAAGTGCACTGGAGAAAAGCAATTCATGCAGAGATCGAGTCAATGCGACTTCGCGGTGTGTTTCGTGCAGCCAAGCTGCCCAACGGACAACGCGCCATGGGCACAAAATGGGTGTTCAAGATCAAGCGCAAGGCGGATGGGTCAATCGAGAAGTACAAGGCACGACTTGTGGCCAAGGGTTTCCGCCAAAAGCATGGCATCGACTACACGGAGACGTTTTCGCCTGTGGTCAAGTATGTGACGCTGAGAATGGTGATCGCAATTTCCAAGCATTTTGGATGGCCCATCGACCAGCTTGATGTGGTGACAGCTTTCCTGTATGGCGTCATGAAGGAACAAGTGTTCTGCGTGATTCCTGAAGGCGTCGAACTTGACAGTACGTTCGACTGCCTGGAATTGGTGAAGTCAATTTACGGCCTCAAGCAAGCTTCGCGAGTGTGGAACGAGACGTTCGACGAGTATGTGTGCTCCATCGGAATTCAAGTATCGGACTTCGACCCATGTCTCTACATCACGACATCGGACGGCCATTGCGTGTTTATACTGGTCTACGTGGACGACGTCTTGGTGACTGGAAGCTCGCTCGAGCTGGTTGCACAAACCAAGAACGACCTGAAGACGCGGTTCGAGATGACGGACAGCGGCAAGTGTGCGTTTGTTCTTGGGATCGAACTTTTGGACGGTGAAGATGGCAGTGTGACACTATGTCAGCGTCGGTATGTCGATGATATCCTCAAGCGCTTTGGCATGGATGATTGCAAGGCAGTCGCAAGTCCAGTCGACATGAGCTCTCGACTTGTTTCCAAGTGATGCAACTACCAAGGTGGATGCTCCTTTTCGCGAAGCGGTTGGTGCTTTGATGCATTTGATGACTGCAACGCGCCCAGATATCGCGTATGCTGTGGGTTATGTGTCTCGCTTTATGGAGAATCCCCAAGAAGAACACTGGGTTGCAGTTAAGCGTATCTTTCGCTACCTACAAGGCACTAAGACGCATGGAATTTGCTACAAGCCAAGTGCAAGGATCGACTTCCGTGGATATTCGGATGCGGATTGGGCTGGTGATCTTACCGACCGCAAGTCAACATCGGGGTACACGTTCATGCTACTCGGTGCGCCAGTAAGTTGGGGCAGCAAGAAGCAGCCAAGTGTTTCGTTGTCCACGACTGAAGCTGAATACATCGCACTCAGCTTGGCGATTCAAGAGGGCAAGTGGATTCATCGTCTGCTTTGTGAGATCGTGATAGCTGCCAATGAAGAAGGACCGGAACTCATGATTCATGAAGACAATCAGTCATGTATCAAGATGACGAAGAACCCGGTCAACCACGGCCGTGCCAAGCACATTGATATCAAGTACCATCACATCCGTGATGAGGTCAAGCACGGTGAAGTGAAGCTCAAGTATTGTGAAACTGCGGTGATGTTAGCGGACATCATGACGAAGGGACTTCATGTACCACGCCACAAGGAGATGACGACGGCTCTCGGGATTCGTGAGCATTCGGATTGAGGGGGCGTATTGACGGTCATCGGTTTTCTACCAGTGTTGGTAACCGTGACCGATCCAATCCGAACCGCCTGTTCAGCCTAGTATTTACGACGTAGTTCTTACGGTAATTACCATAGTTGATTAGACGCGTAGGATGATGAGACGCTTCACATGATTTATATGTACACCACATATAAATCATGTAGTAAGTAGTAAGTCCCGATAATCAATCACTTTCGAATCTTCCAACTATTGGGCAAGTGTTTTCTGCTCTACTCTCTTCGGTCTCTCCGCTCCGTTCGCTCCGCTTTCCTCGCTCCGATCTACAATGCAACAGTAGTCGTCACTGGCGCGAGGATCGGCGAAGGTGGGGGTGGTCTCCGGTTCACCACGTGCCACGCCGACTTGGTCAGGAACACGCCACGCATGTAGCGGCTCCACGTCGCGTAGTTGTCGCCGTCGAACTTGTCAATAAAGATCTTGGTGGTGGCATCATGAGCAGAGGACATCGTGCTTGGGCTCATAACCTGTAAGAAGTAGGAGTTAAGTAAAGTAAATGACTTGTATATTACCGCGCACCAGACGCGTTTCGGCCCCCCCGCCGGGGGGCCTTATCAGTGGTTTGTCAATCTACAAGTGAGAACTATCCATACGTCTAGCTGCCGTACGACCTATAATAATGCATATAACCCTAAAGAACATTCTAGACATACCCTATCATGGGTCGAATCTCTGGAGTCGAATCCAGTGCATCATGCACTTACAACAAGATCGTCTACAACTTGAAACCAAGCGTCAAGCACATGCGAACATTCGGATGTCAGACGTACATACTGACGCCTAAAGAGAATCGACTCAAGTGGGATCCAAAGGCTTGCGCTGGCATATTCGTGGGCTACGAAGAAGTTTCGAAGGCGTATCGTGTTTATGACATCGAGGCTGGGCAGGTGGTTATCAGCCGCGATGTCAACTTCGACGAGTCCACCTTTGGACTTCAACTGCCGATCACTGATGAAGATGTCGATGACCTGGACTTCGAATTGCTGGATCTTGATGACGAAGAGCTGCGTCAAATGGAGTACAAGCAAACAGGCAAGCGCAAGAACCGACTCAATGATGAAGATACAGCAGCTCCACGACCGCGTGCAGTGCGTCAACGACCAGGACTTGAAGAGTCAAGCGCGCCGGAAAACAACTCGTCACGCCAAGAAGAAGACGATGAAACGAAGGATTCTAGTGATTCAATACCGCCTGTGTTTTGGCGTGCGAGTGCAAATGCCGTTGAAGCAGCAGTGGACTTATCAGAGCCCTCAACATTTGAAGCAGCAGTAAGCGGCCCTGACCAAGTGCACTGGAGAAAAGCAATTCATGCAGAGATCGAGTCAATGCGACTTCGCGGTGTGTTTTGTGCAGCCAAGCTGCCCAACGGACAACGCGCCATGGGCACAAAATGGGTGTTCAAGATCAAGCGCAAGGCGGATGGGTCAATCGAGAAGTACAAGGCACGACTTGTGGCCAAGGGTTTCCGCCAAAAGCATGGCATCGACTACACGGAGACGTTTTCGCCTGTGGTCAAGTATGTGACGCTGAGAATGGTGATCGCAATTTCCAAGCATTTTGGATGGCCCATCGACCAGCTTGATGTGGTGACAGCTTTCCTGTATGGCGTCATGAAGGAACAAGTGTTCTGCGTGATTCCTGAAGGCTTCGAACTTGACAGTACGTTCGACTGTCTCGAATTCGTAAAGGCAATTTACGGCCTGAAGCAAGCTTTGCGAGTATGGAACAAGACTTTTGGCGAGTGTGTGTTCCATTGGATTTCAAGTGTCAGGCTTCGACCCATGTCTCTACATCAAGACTTCGGACGGCCATTGCGTGTTTATACTGGTCTATGTGGATGACGTGTTGGTGACAGGAAGCTCACCCAAGTTGATTGCACACACCAAGGAAGACCTGAAGACACGCTTCGAGATGACTGATAGCGGCAAGTGTGCATTTGTTCTTGGAATTGAGCTTTTGGACGGTGAAGATGGCAGTGTGACACTATGTCAGCGTCGGTATGTCGATGATATCCTCAAGCGCTTTGGCATGGATGATTGCAAGGCAGTCGCAAGTCCAGTCGACATGAGCTCTCGACTTGTTTCAAGTGATGCAACTACCAAGGTCGATGCTCCTTTTCGCGAAGCTGTTGGTGCGTTGATGCACCTGACCACTGCAACGCGTCCGGACATTGCGTTTGCTGTGGGCTATGTGTCGCGGTTCATGGAAAATCCCCAAGAAGAACACTGGGTTGCAGTTAAGCGTATCTTTCGCTACCTACAAGGCACCAAGACGCATGGAATTTGCTACAAGCCAAGTGCAAGGATCGACTTCCGTGGATATTCGGATGCGGATTGGGCTGGTGATCTTACCGACCGCAAGTCAACATCGGGGTACACGTTCATGCTACTCGGTGCGCCAGTAAGTTGGGGCAGCAAGAAGCAGCCAAGTGTTTCGTTGTCCACGACTGAAGCTGAATACATCGCACTCAGCTTGGCGATTCAAGAGGGCAAGTGGATTCATCGTCTGCTTTGTGAGATCGTGATAGCTGCCAATGAAGAAGGACCGGAACTCATGATTCATGAAGACAATCAGTCATGTATCAAGATGACGAAGAACCCGGTCAACCACGGCCGTGCCAAGCACATTGATATCAAGTACCATCACATCCGTGATGAGGTCAAGCACGGTGAAGTGAAGCTCAAGTATTGTGAAACTGCGGTGATGTTAGCGGACATCATGACGAAGGGACTTCATGTACCACGCCACAAGGAGATGACGACGGCTCTCGGCATTCGTGCGAGTTCGGATTGAGGGGGCGTGTTGACGGTCATCGGTTTCCTACCAGTATTGGTAAACGTGACCGATCCAATCCGAACCGCCTGTTCAGCTTAGTATTTACGACGTAGTTCTTGTTGTTGATTGAGCGCGAGGCGAAGAGAAAACGAAGCGGAGAGACCGGAGAGAATGAAGCAGAGAACACTTGCTCACTTGAGGGAGGATTCGAAAGTGATTGATTTATAGGTCTTAACTTCTGCCTACCCTAGACTGCATCCAATCACATGGTGCATCTAATCAACCTGATTTACACGCGTCCAATCATCCTACGCGTCTAATCATCTCTGAGGTAATTACCGATGTAAAAACTATCTCGTAAGAACTACGCGCTAGGTTCGGATTGTACCGGTAACCCTCAATACGCCCCCTCAATCCGAACACGCACGGATGCCAAGCGCCGCCGTCAAGTCCTTGTGACGCGGTCCGTGAAGTCCCTTCGTCATGATGTCCGCCAACATCAACGTCGTCTCGCATTATTCAAGCTTCACTTCGCCGCGCTTGACTTCATCACGGATGTGATGGTACTTGATGTCGATGTGTTTAGCGCGGCCGTGGTTGACCGGATTCTTCGTCATCTTGATGCACGACTGGTTGTCTTCACGGATGACGAGCTCGGGTCCTTCTTCGTTTGCAGCCGCCATGATCTCGCACAGCAAGCGATTGATCCACTTGCCTTCTTGGATCGCCAGGCTGAGCGCGATGTACTCCGCTTCGCTTGTAGACAGTGACACACTTGGCTGTTTCTTGCTGCCCCAACTCACCGGAGCACCCAATAGCATGAAGACGTAGCCGGACGTCGATTTGCGATCAGCAAGGTCACCGGCCCAGTCTGCATCTGAATAGCCACGAAAGTCGATCTTCGCACTTGGCTTGTAGCAGATTCCATGCATCTTGGTGCCTTGTAGGTAGCGGAAGATGCGCTTGACTGCAACCCAGTGTTCTTCTTGGGGTTTCTCCATGAACCGTGACACAAAGCTTACAGCATAGGCGATGTCCGGTCGCGTTGCAGTCGTCAGATGCATCAAAGCACCCACTGCTTCACGGAATGGGACATCCACCTTGCTTGCAGAGTTGCTCGGAACCAGTCGAGAGCTGACGTCCACCGGACTTGCCACAGCCTTGCACTCATCCATTCCAAAGCGCTTGAGGACATCGTCGACATAACGGCGCTGACACATAGTCACGCTGCCATCTTCACCGTCCAATAACTCGATCCCAAGAACAAAGGCACACTTGCCGCTGTCCGTCATCTCGAAGCGTGTCTTGAGGTCGTTCTTGGTGCGCGCAATCATCTCGAGCGAGCTTCCAGTCACCAAGACATCGTCCACGTAGACCAGCACAAAAACACAATGGCCTTCCGAAGTCATGATGTAGAGACATGGATCGAATCCCGACGCTTGAAAACCAATCGAGCGTATGAACTCGTCGAAGGTCTCGTTCC